AAAAACCCTTTCTATGGAAGAAAAATTGGATTATGTTCTAAATGACCACGTTGCACAAACAACCGTCGATAACCTGGTGACATTAATGACCCACAGACTTACTGCCATTTTAAATCTGAATGGACGATTTTTTGAGATTCCCTGCCTAAAAAAATTTATATTTTACTTTTGACCACTTACTTTCAATATTGCCATTTCCTGAGTTTGCAGATTTTTGTGAAAATTACATTTTTTATGCCAGTAAATAGTATTTTCTCAACCAAACTCTGACTTTTTTACTTAAAGTTCTAACTTTACTGTTATAATAGTTTGGGGGCACGTCGCGTGTGCTGACCTCCCGCAAAATGACTTCTATTACGCTTTCGAACTTATTTAATCAGATAGTACACTTATGGTAAATGAAATGTTAACGTCACTGATCACTTTCATAACGGTATTGTCTTGTACCATGCGAAGTGCAAAAATCGTTTTTTTCCTTTCTGTCTTTCTTTGTTGATCAACACTTGTGCTTCTGTACTTTTTATCCAACGTATATGGTAAATGTTTTTTTTAACCTAACCTTTGAGAAAGCTACTCCAAAATGGCCCAAAAGGCGATCGGGACCCACAACGCCATTTTCCACTGCGATGAAGTATTGGCGATTGCAATGTTCAAACAACTCCCAGAGTACAAAAACGCCGACATTATTCGCACCCGGGATAACAAAGAACTGGCCACTTGCAACATCGTCGTTGATGTGGGCTCTGTCTTTGATGCGGCTTCTAATCGTTTCGACCATCATCAGCCGTAATTTATAACACCCTGTCTCTACTTCCGTACAAATCCCTTTTTTAGATCATTTAAGCTTACTATAAAAGATTTCCATCCTAAGCTGGAACCATCCGTGAAATTGAGCAGTGCGGGTCTCATTTATGCTCACTTCGGTAAAAGAGTAATAACCGAGATTGCTGGGAAGTTGAATTCTGATGAAGACTTGGAAGCGGTATTTAAGCGGGTATGCTACCGGCACTTCAGTTCTTTTGAAAACGTAGCTTTACAAATGTTTTATTAGTGAAGTGGATGCAATTGACAATGGCATGACAATTTCAGAAAGTGCACCAAAGTAAACTCTTTTGTTTTTATTAATGGAACCAGCTACTGTGTCACAACTGGAATAGAAGAGAAAATGAAATGGTAAGTTCTCTTAGAAGCTTAAAAAATAAACAATACTCTAATTTGTCATCATTATCATCATATTCGATTTCGGCTGATCAAGTAGGCAGTCTTGATGCTGGCATCTAGGTCCTTAACCTTTATAACTTAAAATAACCATAAATCCAAATGTTTTAGACCGTTTTGACACCCAAATTTTTTCGGTATTCTGCCGTACGTGCCCTAAAACATTTCAAGAACCACTTTTTTATCATCCTTTTTCGTAAGTTGTCTTGTTCAATGTAAGGTCTGAGTCATTAAACCCATCACGGGGTACTAACTTTATAAGGAAGATCCTTTCCGTTGTGATTCTAAGCCTTGTCCTTATAGGGAAGGAGAAGTGCGAAACCAGACTGGAAAGAAAATAATATTTTGTACAAAAGCAGTGGTAAAGGAGGTAGGAGGAGGTTAACGGTCGGGTCATTGCACAATCATCAGTTAGAAATCTGCGTGCGCCGTGAGTGAGCGTAGAAGCCGTCAAATAAGGTCCTGTGTGACTCAGCCTTATGGAGTTGATTTGCCAGACTAGATTGGGGTAGGCAAGCGTTGGTGTGTGCGCACTTGCTAGGCACCGTAAGGGGTTAAACATTGGCACAGTTTGTAGCAAACGTGATTGATAGTCCCAAAGGCAGACTGACACTGCAATAACTTGACTCCATGCATGGCCTCGGATGTGAGTTGGAAATCGCTACAGGATTACAACAAAGTCACGTATCCTAATACTCTACTGGGCGCAGTTCTTTCACTTAAAATCTAGTTGTTTGCTTTATTTCTTGCGGAGTTTGCTTAACCCCAGTCTTCACGCGTAGCTGCTTTTCAAATGGACATTCCTCCACAACAAAGATAATTTCCACCATCACCGCCTTTTTTTAGTTTAATTCCCTTCGATTGATTTCCTGGTTTTAAATATCCACTCCATATTTGTTATTGCTAAAAATCTTCTTCCATTCGTTATTTCTTGCAGCAGTGATTCCTCAAGGCGCTAGCTCTGGTTTCTGACGAATTGGTTGCAAATGTCAGGCGTTTAGTGGACGAGTGGCTACCGGCTAGAACCATTGTGAAGGGTGCTCTTAAGTCACGTTTTTCCGTCCACCCCTCTGGAATGATTGTAAAAATGACCAGTCCAGGCTGCCCCTGGATGGAACATATTTATGACCTTGAAAAGGAAGAAATGGACATCACGCAGACAGCTGGCCCCCTCCCTTTTAGTGGGCGACCTGTCTTTATTTTCAGGCCTGGTACCAGGGCATCCGGCGTCACCGCCATTTCACTCAGCGAAGATCAACCATACTTAAGACGGTAGGGCATTCTTGTATTCTTGCCTAATTTGTATTCGTCGAAATGGATACCATTAAGCTTATCTTATGGTATTTTAATGACCCTGACAAAAAATGGCAAAGGTAGGGGCTGCCTCCTTCTCAAAATTGGTAGATTTTTTTTATGAAACTGACCGCAAAAAGAAAGAAAGTTACAGTGTTTAGATACCTGTCCATTCAGTTCTAACACGCTTAGGGTCTACAGACATTTAATTTGACAATTTTGGCAAATTTAGGAGCTGCCTTCTCAAAATTGGGAGATTTTTATTCAAATTAGCGCCAGAAAAAGAAATTTACAGTGTTTAGACGCCTGTCCCTTCAGTTCTACCATGCTGAGGGTC